CTGGGACTGGGACTTGAACCGCGGTCAGCCATGTGACAGGTCAGTGACATAACCATTACACCATCTGCTGGTCCTGATAATCATCTTTTTTAAAAAAAATAATTTCTCTCGGGTACATAACTAGTTAGATTACCACATCGAATGCTTTGCTGTGTGTAAACGTTTAGCTTTGTAAGACAGGGTTAAACCATTCAATATTCCTGTCAGCAGTGTGTGAAGGGACTTCAAAAAAGTATGTGGAAAAATGAAATTAAAGTATAAATTTATTTTGGTGCAAAATTTTATTTATTTATTTACTTACTTATTTTAATTTGACCAGAGAGGGACAGAGCAAGAGAGAGAGAGCCAGAGGGAGAGGGAAAGTGAGAAGGCAAGCGCCCAGGTCTGAGACTAACTGTGGTCGGCCATGTGGGAGTCCAGCACCCTTAACCACCACGCCACCCGCCAGCCCTAAAAGTGTACTCATTCTAGTAGGTATGTAGTAGCATCTCATCATGGTTTTTTGTTTTGTTTTTAAAGAATTATTTTATTTAGGACTGGCAGGTGGCATGGTGGTTGGGGGCGCTAGACTCCTGCATAGCCGACCGTGGTTCGAGTTCCAGACCTGGAGGCTTATTCTCTCACTTTCTCTCTCTCTCTGTCCCTCTCTGGTCAAATTAAAGTATTAAAGCATTGTCTTTAAATTATTTTATTTAATTTTATTTATCTATTTATGTAAATTTGACTAGGGAGGGGAGAGAGAAAGAAAGTGAGAGAACAAGCTGCCAGGTCTGGGACCCAAACAGTGGTCAACCATGTGGGGGGTCCAGCATCCTTAACACCATGCCACCTGCTGGCCCTCATCATGGTTTTAATTTGCATTTCTCTAATGAATGTTTTTAAATGTATTTATTTGCAATTTGTAGATCATCTTTGATGACATGCCTGTTTAAGTCTTCTAGTTTAAAATTTTTTTTTTAAATCGTGGTAGAACACGATAATGCAAAAATGACCATTTTAACCATTTTTAAAAAGGTTTTTTTGCCATAGGATGCGTGCACTTGCCAGAAAGAGAGAAAGTGAGAAATTACACACACACACACACACAGACCCCCGTCTGGAGGAATGGCCATTCTGCAGTGCCTTCTCCATTCTCCTGCTGGGATTTTGGGTAAACACATACATGGGCCAGTGTGAGTTTCAAGATGCTGGGTCTGATACTCAAATGCTGGTCAGCCATGTGGGAGTCTAGCCCCTCAACCACCACACCTGCTGGCTCCCCCCTTTAACCATTTTTTTAGTGAACCATTTAGTGACATTAAGTATATCACAACTTTGTGTAAGAGTCACCACTATGTTTCCAGAACTTTTTAAATCCTCCCTAGCAGGAGCTCTATACCTGCTAGACATTAGTCCCAGATGGCTCCCTTCCCTTAGCCCCTGGTGACCACTATTTTGCCTTCATTCTAGGTATTTTGAATAAGTAGAACCACATAGTATTTGTCCTTTCGTTTCTGGCCTCTTTTCCTCAGTGTAGTTTCAGCGTACATCTGTGCTGTCGCCTTGAGCAGAATTGCCTTCTTTTTTAGTGTCTGAGTGACATCCGTTGTATGCGTACACCACGTTTTGTTTATTCATCAGTTGATGAGCACTCGGGGTTCCACCCTTTGGCGATGTGAATAACGCGGGGTGTACAAACATCTGTCTGAGTCCTTACAGCTTTCTATTTTTTGGCATCTACCCATAAATAGAATGGCTGAATCCATGGTAGTTCTTTAAATTTTTCAGGAACTCCCGTAGTCTTTCTGCAGAACCTGTACTGTTTTACATTCGCCCAAGCAAGCACAAGGGCTACAGTTCCTCCAGACCCTGGTTTGTGCTTGTTATTTTCTGGTTTGCGTTTGTTTCGCCAGTAGCCTAATGCAGGGTTTCTACTTCTATCTTTTGCTTTCCCATACTGTATGGCAGTCACAGTGGCCATTATGGCATAGCTTATGGGGAAGCAGCAGTGGATGAACTTTAGGAAAAATATTCATTTAATTATATTCATTATTATTATTTGTTCTTTTTATGCTTATCAGAGAGGGAAAGTGAGAAAGCAACCCACCATACCCAGGACTTGAACCATGGCTGACCATGTGGGAGTCTAGCCCCTTAACCCCTACACCACCTACCGGCCCCAGCAGTGTATAAACAGTTTTTAAAAATTAATTAGTTTAACTGTGGGTTGGCCATGTGGGATCCAGCACCTTAACCACCACACTGCCTGCTGGCCCAACTTTATTCCTTTTTCATGACTGCACAATACTCCCTTGTATGGACATGTGGCATTTTATCCATTCCTCTGTTGATAGACATTTGGGTTGTTTTCACTGTTTAGCTGTCACGAACAAGGCTGCTGTGAATATTCCTGGGCAGATTTTTTTTTTTAATTTATATTATCATCATAATCTTCTTTATATTACATTGGATTACATATAACTTTACATCGACTTCCATTGCTTTTTCAAAAGGGAATGCCATGCATGTCGGTCAATACAGAGGCATCGATCTCCCCGCTTTATCATTCAATGTCTTTTCCATGCATTTCCCAATAATTATTATTATTATAATTTTTTAAAA